CATGTTTTATAGCAAAAAGTCCAAAATATTGCTTTTTTTCCCTCAAAATTGTCAGCCTTTTTTTTTATAGCGCAAAAAATAAAAACCGCACAGGCAATTAAATTCCACCGAAAGAAAGCTCAATTTGTGGGGGAAAAAAGGATGTAAATTTCATTTATGTACCGTATTGCATGACCGCACAATTGTCCGTTAAACTAGCGCAGCGCTGTATAGCAGAAAAACGGCGTAAATTGCAGTATTTATACCATACTTTGTAGACGCTATAACTTCCACACAAAGCAATCAATATACAGTTATTGGGATTTTTTTTACCAAAAACATGTAGCAGAATATATTTTGGCCTAAATTTATAACCAACTTTGAGTTTACTATATATTTTTTATAGCTGAAAGTAAAAAATATTGTTTTTCTTCAAAATTTTTGGCCTTTTTTTGTTTATAGCAAAAAAAAAAATAAAAAGCGCACAGGTGATCAAATTACACCGAAAGAAAGCTCTATTTGTGTGAAAATGATGTAAATTTTGTTTGGGTGCAGCATTGCATGACCGCGCAATTATCAGTTGAATTAGTGCAGTGCCGAGTAGCAAAAAGAGGCCTGGTCATTAAGGGGGGTAAATCCTCAGGAGCTCAAGTGGTTAATCCCATCTTTACCCCAGATGGGCCAACTTGAAAAAGGAGGCAGGACCTTGGAAACGCGTTGCAGTCCCCCCCCCCCCACCCTATCATGTTCTCCTGTCTGCCTTCCTGTTAGTGCCATGAGAGAAGAAACGCTACCGATTTACCATCTTGCAGCGGTTACCTGCTTGTGCCCTGCAGACCTATCAGTCCATCCAGATTGCAGTGGGCTGTATATTGCACTACCACTCTGACACCTGGAACAGTCTACAGGTCTTTCAGATGTAAGTGAGATATGGCATTAAAGTGTTGTTTTTAACCATACACTAATCTGGCGCCTTGCTCTGTTTCCTTTGTAACATCGTTCAGCATGACAGTATTGGTGGTGAGAGGCATATCCGTGGAGGGACACACAGACAGCTACAGGCTAGACAATGGCACCCTGACTGCCATTAGGTATCGGGATGAAATCCTTGGACCTATTGTCAGAGCCTACGCTGGTGCAGTGGGTCCTGGGTTCCTCCTGCATGACAATGTCCAACCTCATGTGGCGAGAGTATGCAGGCAGTTCCTTGAGGATGAATAAATTGATACCATTGAATGGCCCCCACACTCACCTGACTTAAATCCAATTGAACACCTCTTGGATATCATGTTTCGGTCCATCCGACGCTGCCAGGTTGCACCTCAGACTGTTCAGGAGCTCAGTAATGCCATGATCCGGAGGAAATACCCCAGGACATCATCTGTCACCTCATTAGGGGCATCCCCCATACAAGCATGTGGGGCCATACAAACTACTGCGTACAATTTTGAGTTGCAGCAATGAAATTTCTGCAAAATGTTCTAGCCTGCTGCATCATTTTTTCACTTTGATTTTCAGGGTGTCTTTGAACTCAGTCCTCTGTAGGTCGATAATTAAATTTTTTTCATTGCCACCAAACCATTGGACATTCTTACGTTCCTAGCACATTACCCAGTCCATATCAGTATAGATATCCAGCATGATACATTTCCCCATTGAGATCTGATGTGTTTTCAAAGTGTTCCTTTTTGTGTATATATATATATATATATATATATATATACACACACATATATACATATACACACCCACTTTACAAGCACTTGCCTTTACAAGCATGTGAACTTTAATGGCATCCCTGTCTTAGTCCGTAGGGTTCAATATTGAGTTGGCCCACCCTTTGCAGTTATAACAGCTTCAACTCTTCTGGGAAGGCTGTCCACAAGGTTTAGGAGTGTGTCTATGGGAATGTTTGACCATTCTTCATGTTGGAACAGGAAGGGGCCATCCCCAAACTATTCCCACAAAGTTGGGAGCATGTCCAGATAAGGAAAAGAGAAGGGTAGGACTCTCTAGGTACCAAACAACACCACCATTAGGATAAAGTACAAAATGTTAATAAACAAAATTAAAAGTTATACATAGCACATATAATGGACCAATCTGTACTAAATAACAGCTTCATCGATAGGTCAATTACATTCCATCTGGGAAGATGTCTTTAGATGGACTTTAAGACCTTGAAACCTCAACACATTTTAGCGCTTAACGAGCCTTGATAAGGAGGAAGAAAGGAAGAAAAATGGTCTAGAACGAAAGCACATGTGGATAAACACCAAATGTATACAAAAATAGGGCCATTCATATAACAAAGGCTACTTATACATACTCAAAAAAAGAGTATACCAAAAACACATAGAAAGATGCATGTCTTGTTGTCTTCTCTGGCAGACCTTCAATGGAGTCAGGTGAAGTGCAGAGAGGATAGCCCCAGTCAAATGGTATAGCAGACAGTGACAGAATGCCTAAGCAAAAAGAAATACAATAATAGCATTTGTGACCATTAAGAAAGGGCCCTAAACATTGCTGGATCTAGGGAGGTGCTGGGGTGGGCTAAGCCCACCCAAATTTCAGTCGCACCCCTCCAAAGCTAACTCCTCCACACTGGACACTGTACTTGTCTGCTGAACGATACTTTAGAAAGCTGCACTCTCTCCCCTGAAGCTTTATAACCATAGTAGATGTACTGCCCAGTTTATCATCAGATCAGAGGGGGACCAGTGGGGTGGGGGAGGCTGCCAGTATCTCACCCCTGTCATCTAATACAGGTGGGCTATCCCTCGGTTATCTTCACTGTCTTCCAAGGCAGTGGGAGTTGGTGGGCGGGGCGGGGGGTGTGGCTGCCTCTTCTACAGACTCCTTCACCCAGGAAGAGGAGAAGTGAGTACAGCAGCCAAGCCCTGGGAAGTCTTCATCCCCAGCCATGCTGTAAGTGACTGAGCAGACTGTCATTACATACTTCCCCAGCCTGCCACTACACTGCTCTAACCTGCAACTTTACAGCCACTGTACTGCCTTAGCCTGCCATTATACTGCACCAATCTGCAACTAGACTGCCATTGTACTGCTCTAGCCTGCCACTATGCTGAACTAGCATAACCACATCTCTGTATATGTGTGATTAAAGTATGGCATTAGGTTATTGATATGCTGCTTTCAAAACCACCTGTTTTAAATGAATGCCCCATCCCTAATTTAAGTACATTCTTCATCTACAGTGGCCTTCTGGGCGCATAGCAAAAAAAAGGTGACCCTGGAAATGTTTTTAAAATGTTGGCAACTATGCTGAACTCCTCCTATCTCTGCACTGCACACAGCCTGAGCAAAAGCAGCAGAGCTCCTCCTCCCTGCACAGCTGAGATCAGATTCTTATACACAACCACCATCTGCACATTGTGTATCTGGGTGCTATGTTGCATTTCTGACCTGTGAAATTCCCTGGTCAGAATGGTAGTACAGCTGCAGTAGCCACCTGCACACTGTATAGATCAGGGGTGGGCAAACTTTTTGACTTGAGGGCCGCAATGGGTTCATATATTGGACCCGGGGGCCGGACCAAGAGTAGATGAATGATGTTTATGTGTCATCCATAGTAAGTATAGTAATATTCCCCCATAGTAAGCATAGTAATTAATCCCCCATATAGTAATTCATCCCCCATAGTAATTCATCCCCTATAGTAATTCATCCCCCCTATAGTAATTCATCCCCCATAGTAATTCATCCCCCATATAGTAATTCATCCCCCATATAGTAATTCATCCCCCATATAGTAATTCATCCCCATATAGTAATTCATCCCCATATAGTAATTCATCCCCCATATAGTAATTCATCCCCCATAGTAATTCATTCCCCATATAGTAATTTCATCCCCCATATAGTATTTCATCCCCCATAGTAATTCATCCCCCATATAGTAATTCATCCCCCATATAGTAATTCATCCCCCATAGTAATTATCCCCATATAGTAATTCATCCCCCATAGTAATTCATCCCCCATATAGTAATTCATCCCCCATATAGTAATTCATCCCCCATAGTAATTCATCCCCCATATAGTAATTCATCCCCCATAGTAATTCATCCCCCATAGTAATTCATCCCCCATAGTAATTAATCCCCCATATAGTAATTAATCCCCCATATAGTAATTCATCCCCCATAGTAATTCATCCCCCATATAGTAATTCATCCCCCATATAGTAATTCATCCCCCATAGTAATTCATCCCCCATATAGTAATTCATCCCCCATAGTAATTCATCCCCCATAGTAATTCATCCCCCATATAGTAATTAATCCCCCATATAGTAATTAATCCCCCATATAGTAATTCATCTCCCATAGTAATTCATCCCCCATATAGTAATTCATCCCCCATAGTAATTCATCCCCCATATAGTAATTCATCCCCCATAGTAATTCATCCCCCATAGTAATTCATCCCCCATATTAATTCATCCCCCATAGTAATTCACCCCCCATATAGTAATTCATCCCCCATATAGTAATTCATCCCCCATAGTAATTCATCCCCCATATAGAAATTCATCCCCCATATTAATTCATCCCCCATATTATTTCATCCCCCATATTAAGTCCCCAAGTCCCCCCTGTGTCAATTCACTTACCTTTGCTCCGCGCGTTCCTCTCGCCGTCTTCCCGCGCCGTTCCGGTGTAGCGTGAAAATCTGTCTCCTATGAGGATCTGTCCCCCTCGACGTATCTGCGCATGTGCCAGTTTCAGGCATTAGCAGCCGATCGGCGATCTCCGGCACATGCGCAGATACGTCGAGGGGGACAGATCCTCATAGGAGACAGATTTTCATACTACACCAGTCTTCAGGGCGGACTGAGAGGAGCCTAGCGGGAGCCTAGCTCCGCGGGCCGGATTAAAAGGTCCGCCGGGCCGTATACGGCCCGCGGGCCGTAGTTTGTCCATTGCTGGTATAGATCAAGGTTGTGTGTAAGGGAATCCAATCTCAGCTATGTGTAATGTGTGGCGAGGAGATTTTCTGTCTGTACCCAGCCTGTGTGCAGTGCAGGGATAGGAGGAGTTCTGCTGAGTGCCCTGCCAGCAGTGACCCCTAGCCTCTGCTGAGTTCTCCCCACAGTGACCCCTGTCCTCTGCCCTGCCAGCAGTGACCCCTAACCTCTGCTGAGTTCTCCCCACAGTGACCCCTGTCCTCTGCTCTGTCAGCAGCGACCCCTGAACTCTGCGTTTTGCCTTGCCAGCAGTGACTCCTATCTTCTGCCCTACCAGCAGTGATATCTGTCTTCCTTCCTGCTGACCCCTGTTCTTTTCCCTGTGGACTCCTGTACACTGCTCTATAAGTTAATGACCTCTGTTCCCTGCCCTACAAAGTGATTACCCTATCCTCTGTCCTGGTGACCCCCTGTACACTTCCCTGCTGACCTCCCATCCTCTGCCCCCCTGACATTTTTTACTGCACCCCCACGTTGGACAGGCTAGATTCAGCCCTGGCCCTAAAACAGCTTACAAATTCATAAAAAACTACAAAGGTTACCTACCAGAATTGGAGTGTAATGAATTATAACTTTAAGGATCCCATAAATGGTCACGATAGATATGTACCAATCACAATGCTGCATACACTCAAATAGGTCAATAAGCAGGGTCCCAGAGACAAAATCTATACAAAAAACACAGTAATTGACCATGAGGCCCCCTACAGGCCCATAAATCAACAGACTGGTTATGGCAGTGTCTCCATACCTCCAAGCTGGATGTCATAAAATATAACTCTAGGGATCATATGGAAGATCACAATAGCTCCATAATAACGGTAGTACTGCATTCACCCACCACACATCACAATCATGGTCCCCCAAAATGCATGGCCTCTAGTCCACTGACATGAAGATCAGGGTATATACCTAATGAAAAAGCACACGGCACACAATATAAAAATTACCCTCTGTCACTAAGATATTAACTACTGACTATACAAAAGCCCATGCCATTCAAATTTCCCAAAAATACCTTTTGGAATGTGGTACCTATTTATTACTGACAGTCATAGACTTGGCACAATTTAGGAAATTGTTCTTAGTATGGTGACGCCTAAGGGGCCAAGTCCAACCCCTGAAAAACAACCCCACATCATAATCCCCCCTCCACCAAACTTTACACTTGACACGTCTCCACTGCTCTAGAGTCCAGTGGAGGCGTGCTTTACTCCACTGCATCCTACGCTTTGCATTCCACTTGGTGATGTAGGGCATGGATGCAGCTGCTCGGCCATGGAAACCCATTCCATGAAGCTCTCTATGCACTGTTGGTGTGCTAATCTGAAGTCTACATGAAGTTTTGGAGGTCTTTAGCTAATGACTCTGCAAACAGTTGGCAACTACTGCACACTGTACGCTTCAGCAAGCGCTAACCCCGCTCTGTCATTTTACGTAGCCTACTACTTCGAGTTGCTGTTGTTCCCAGTTGCTTCCACTTTGTTATAATACCACCAACAGCTGACCATGGAATATTTAGTAGCACGGAAATTTCACGGATGGACTTATTGCACAGGTGGCAACCTATCACGGTACCACGCTTGAATTCACTGAGCTCCTGAGAGTGACCCATTCTCTCACAAATGTTTTTGAAAGCAGTCTGAATGCCTAGGTGCTTGATTGGCCATGGAGGTGATTGGAACATCTGAATCCAATGCTTTGGAGGGGTGGCCCAATACTTTTAGCAATATAGTGTTTATAGTGTTTTTCGACATCAGTGCCTAACCTCACAAACGCGTTTCTGGAAGAATGGTCAAACATTCCCATAGACACATTACTACACCTTGCTGACATCCTTCCCAGAGAGTTGAAGCTGTTATAACTGCAAAGGGTGGGCCAACTCAATATTGAACCCTACGGACTAAGACTAGGACACCATTAACCACTTGCCCTCCAGAGGACTTAGCCCCCTTCCTGACCAGGCCATTGTTTTCGTTACGGCACTGAGTTACTTTAAGTGACAATTGCGTGGTCATGCAACACTGCACCCAAATGAAATTTATGTCCTTTTTTTCCTACGAATAGAGCTCTCTTTTGGTTGTATTTAATCGCTTGTGCTTTTTTTGTTTGTTATACAATTAAAAAAAAAAAGACCGACAATTTTGAGAAAAAAAACAATATTTTTGACTTTTTGGTATTAAACATGTCCAGTAAAAAAATTACAAAAAACAAATTTCAGCATAAATTTAGGGCTAAATGTATTCTACATGTCTTTTCTGAAAAAAAAAAAAAATCTCAGTATGTGTAAATTAATTGGTTTATGTGAAAGTTATAGCGTTTACAAATGGTGGTATATACAATTAGGTCCATATGTATTTGGACACAGGCACAATTTTAGATTTTTCAGACACTGACCAAAACATATTCAAGCTATAGTTATATAATGGATATGGACTGAAAGTGCACACTCTCAGGTTTAATTTGAGGGTATGTACATCCAAATTTGAGGAAGGATTTAGGAATTACAGCTCTTAAGGGTAGCCATCCCCCCTTTTTCAAGGGACCAAAAGTAATTGGACAATTGAATATAATCATATATAAACTGTATTGTTTACTTACAGTTCTCTCCCTACATCAGGAATGCTCCTCGATCACCGGGTGCAGGCGAGTAATCACAGGTCGGGACCCGGTGACTGACAGCCGAGGCCATGAATAGCAGCTCGGGTAGGGGGCTTGCACATGCCCCTACCCATAAATGCAAAATCATGTATATATACACACGTGATTTTGCGCACCCCTGCCGCCCTGTAGCGGTATATCTGCTATAGGGCAGCGGGAAAGCGGTTAAAGTTCATGTGTGTGTAAAGGAGGCGTCCCAATACTTTTGTCAATATAGTGTGTATATATATATATATATATATATATATATATACACACATATACACACACACACACATACATATACATACATACACACACATACAATTATATATATATATATATATATATATATATATATATATATATATATATACACACACACATACATATATATACACATACATACATACACACACTATATATAGATAATCACCAGACGCACACTGACTATCCCAGCTTTCAAAGTCCCATTTATTAATCAGATAAAAAAATCTTAAGCATAAAGTTGGCTTGTATTTCAGTATAAAATGTATACAAACCTTAAAGTGATACTAAAGTCTTGTTTTTTACCTGCTCTGTGCAGTGGTTTTGCACAAAGCAACCTTGATCCTCCTCTTCTTGGGTCCCCCGCCAATGCTCCTCTCCCCCCCCCCTTGTTGGGTGCCCCCTCTCTCTACCCAAGCAGACATGGCTCTGTGTGTCCATCACACACAGAGCCGCAACTCCCCCACACCCTCTCCTGATTGGCTCACTGGCTGTGATTGACAGCAGTGGAATCCAATAGCTCCCACGGCTGCCTCAGCCAGTCAATAGTGAGAGTCCCTGGAGAAACAAGGCTCTCATGGACATAGCTGGATCATGAAGGGGCTCAGGTAAGTGTTAGGGGGGCTGGGGGAGCTGCTACATACAGAAGAGTTTTTACCTTGAAGGTGAAAAAACGTGATCCTTTAGAACCACTTTAAGCAGTTTCTCTTGAACACAGTCAGCCACATCTTCCAAGGAATCAAGAGCTGGCACATGAGACTGTTGCCAAACTCCCATCTGGTGACAATGTCTTACTGTAGCTCTGGCACAAACAGCCATTGTTTCACATCCAAGCAATGTCCTTCTGAAACACTGCCTTCACAGCACTGACTGATACTGATGCAGCAGCTCTAGCCTTGACACCCACCTATAGAGTGCCCATTCCATCCATTGTCCTAGTAGTGCCGGCTTACATATAGGAACTCTTGCCTTACTCCAGGCTATCTCCTTTGTGGAACAAACCCATCTGTCTCTAAGTGGCTAATTTTTCTCCCAGCCCCAGGCAGTCTTTTTCACAATTCTCTCATTGCCCTTTGCCACACTTGTACTCTGACAGCCAGTGCTTCTACAACAAATAAATGACAGCTAGGGGTTCTGCAACAAATATACACTCACCGACACCTTTAATAGGTACACCTGGTCAATTGCTCAAATTGCTAAATCAGCCAATCACATGGCAGCAACTCAATGCATTTTAGGCATCTACACATGGTGAAGACGATTTCATGAAATTCACACTGAGCATTAGCATGGGGGATTTAAGTGACTTTGAATGTTGCATGGTTGTTAATGCCAGGCAGGCTTGTCTGAGTATTTACAAAACTGCTGATCTACTGGGATTTTCACACACAACCATCTCTAGGGTTTACAGAGAATGGTCTGAAAAAGAGAAAATATCCAGAGAGCGGCAGTTGTGTGGACAAAAATGCCTTGTTGATGTCAGAGGAGAATGGGCAGACTGGTTCAAGATGATAGAAAAGCAACAGTAACTCAAATAACCACTCGTAACCAAGGTATGCAGCATACCATCTCTAAATGCACGAAATGTCAAATCTTGAAACAGATTGGCTACAGCAGCTAGTACAGCAGACCACACCAAGTGCCACTCATATCAGCTAAGAACAGGAAACAGCGGTTACAATTCGCACAGGCTCACCAAAATTTGACAATAGATGACTGGAAAAACGTTACCTGGTCTGATGAGTCTCAATTTCAGCTGTGACATTCAGATGGTAGGGTCAGAATTTGTCATAATCAACATGAAAGCCTGGATCCATCCTGCCTTATATCAAAGGTTCATGAATGTGCAGCCACAAATCTGCAGCAATCGCATGATGCCATCATGTCAGTATGGACCAAAATTTCTGAGGAATGTTTCCAACACCTTGTTGAATCTATGACATGAAGAATTAAGGCAGTTCTGAAGGCAAAAGCAGGTCCAACCCGGTAATAGCAAGGTGCACCTAATAAAGTGGCCTGTGAGCGTACATGGCGACATTAAGGACAACATGGGAAAAATAATAGTCCTTTAAATGACATGTGTAGCACCCTCCTAGGTACTGTAGGTGCTAGGATTAATTAAATAGGATTAGCTATGTTTTTGAAAAGGTAAATATAGTTGCCACTCTGTAGGCAGAGTGGCTGTAATTACTGCTAGGTAAAAGTATGGTTAGCTCACTGCACTGAGCTCACTGAGCTGTGATCATCTAGTGAGGTCCGCTCTGTGTGCTCTAGTGCTGCTAGTCTACCTAGCGTCCTCTGTATCCAGGAGACTGCAGAAGTTTCTGGATGATAGGCGTGCAGCTATGCATATAGCAGCATGAATATTGCACATATAGAAATCCTGGGAATGGTATAATTTCCAGTGCCTACCCTACATAGGGGAGATGCATCCA